CAGCGTGATTGTGAATCGCCGACAGCTCCAGATATTTAGCATGCCAAATATTTCACTGCGTCGGCAACATGTCGGCGATTCCCTCAGATTGCGTCTTTGATAATTCACACTGCCTGATTGTGGATATAAATCCGATCTTCAATTCCCGCGCTATATTTAAATTTAACGGAGTTCACGTGAACGAAATCAAAAGATAAGGGCTACATTTTATTAATTATCAGCTCATTTCAAGATCAAAGACCGCAATAGGAGAGCGCGCAGCATCAGCACTGGAAAGATAAGTTTGTCCTACTACTTTTAATGAAGAAGATTGTGTGTTGACCGTCTGCGTAGCCTATTACTTTGTTTCATTCGCGGCAGTTTGCACTTCGGCTTGCTGAAGAGATACTCAGCCACTCGTCCACTGCAATGCGTGTTGCATTAGCGCAGTCATATCTGACTATGTCATAGGTTATAGCCTATAACAGCTCTCACACGTTTATTATTTTAACATTTTGGGAGGAGTAAAATTTACATATGTGGTTTCAACAACCAGATGCATTTACACTTGTCCAGTTTCGTCTGGAATGCGGCCCAGACCACCTCCTGAAGTGGTTTGAGCGATCGGATTTATATCCGTCTCGAATGCGTTTCGGAGGGCATTTACACCTGGCCTTTTCACGATCGGATAGCTATCCGATCAGACAAAACTCATGAAGTGACCAGGTGTAAACAGCCCCTAAGTTGTAATTTTAGAAGAGCTAGAAACAGCTACTAGTACCAACCAACATGGCTTTCAAAATATAACTTGTCATATGTTTATACTCAAATATAATCTTTCGCAGGCACATTAAAAACAATATAGGCCTATTGCCGAAGGCTCTGATATAGAGAGGAAATGTCCCTGTGTTTGTTTTGGCTCAAAGTATTATTAGTACTATTAGTATTTTGATTAGTATTACGTCTTTAATTGATTACGTCTTTAATTGATTTTCCCGTACATTTCTGCCATATGTACATTAACTGACAGTCACCACTGATAAGCTACCACTAAATATTGTAGAAACTTAATTTGCTGTAAAGTTGCTTTGCAACGATTTGTATAGTGAAAAGCGCTATACAAATAAACTTGAATTGAATTAAATTATATATTATTAAGCTGTCAGATATGGTTGTTTTCCTGTATTTGTCTAGTAGTGTTACATAGGAATTTACTGGTATTTCTTTTGCATGTTTGATTACAGTTAGTGCTGAAGACAGTTTATCTGAAAATACGACAACTGTTCAGCTGGCTAATCCAGAAGATCATCATGAGAAACCCAGAAAAGGTATAGTTTTCAGAGATCATCTAAATAGTCTTACACTGGACATGAAGTAATGACCAGAGTATGAAGAAATCCCCCCCACCCCAAAAAGCATCAAAAATTTTATAAATTTATATTTAAACATTACATTTATAAATATTACCATGAACTACATAGACCCAACAATATACAAACATTATTTATTTAAACAGAAAAATACTTTAAATTACTACTGTAAATATCATATGATTGTATTTTATACAAATAATTTAGTTTTAATACACTATGTACATTAGGGCATTTTGTGTTACATTTTCTGATATTTAGTTAATGTTTATTGCATTATTTTTGTGTCATGTATGTTGTTACCCTGATGGTGTGGTCTTTGTTGGTTTTACCTTCTGTATGGTGTTTATCAGTACATTTTATGGTTAAAAATCAGGTTTTGGTACATAATAACAGGATAACTCTTAATGAAATATTTTAAGTTGTAAAATACACAGGTACCAATATGCAAAATATGCTGCTCCTAGCTCTTACTGTAAAGAAAATGGCCCAATGTTTTGTCTTTGGCTAAGACTAACTTAAGGCCTTATCAAGGCAAATGTGTCGCATTCGCCTTTCCTTATCTGGCAATGTTATTAGAGCTATCACTGATGGTTGTGTGTTTGGTTACAGTCCCCGCTGGACGCAGTTTTGCTGTTCAGCGTGACTATAAAACCCAGACAGATGAGCCGATTGACTACAATATGGATGAGACATTGCCCGACTCTTCTTTAATGCCAAATAAAACTCGTAAAGGTACGTACAATATCCAGCAAACAGACTGCTAACAGTAATTATACAATAAATGAAATGGCCTTGTGTTTGAGGCTTTAGTTAGGCCCGTTCACACCAAGAACAATAACGATAAGAGTTAAAACTCATTCTAATTCTATGAGAATAAAATTCACACTATACCAATAACAGCACAGAGGAAGGATATCAATACTTTCAGAACAATTTCTTCCAGCGGATATATTTAATATTGACAACCAGTTAAGAGTCCTGCTTTAATGAGCTTGAGCATTTAAAGTGGCAGACAACAAAAATGATGCATGCATTTATAATAAACAGTCTGTTAGTGTAAATGATAGTTATCATTCTTGGTGTGAATGTCTTAAACATCTTCATCAAGGCCTCTCAGTCATATGACTAGAGTTGTTATGAGAGGTGTCATTGATGCTGTTGTGTTTTTGTATGTCGGGTTATAGAGTTAAGCCAACAAGCGTCCCGATCTAATAAAGGAGCACATCCATGTAACATCACTGATCCGAATGCAGCAAGATTCAACCGGACTACAATCCCGATACTCAGGATCTCAGACAAGGCTGTTGACTTCCTTAAAAGCCCACTGGTCACACGCATCATGCCCTCATTCTACATCTTCATCATCTTCATTAGTTTACCCCTGAACGCTTTGGCCTTGGTGGCATTCACCTGTAGGATTCGAGCGAAGAAACCAGCTGTGATCTACATGTCTCACCTGGCGTGTGTGGACCTGCTCTTCACCCTGCTGCTGCCTCTGAAGATCCACTACCAGCTGAATGCTTCAGATTGGGTGTTCGGTGAGGCGGCGTGTCGTGTGCTCAGTGCAGCGTACTACTGCTACATGTACTGCTCCATACTGCTGATGATGAGCATGAGTGTGGACAGGCTGCTGGCCGTGGTGTTTCCCATCGCCTCTCTGACCTGGAGGAGCGCAAGGAAAGCTACATGCGTGTGTGTGCTGGTCTGGCTGCTGGCGCTCGCTGGTACAGTGCCACTTCTCTCCATAACACAAACATTCAAGATAAAGGATGTGGGCATCACCTGCCATGATGCATTGATCCACAATGACCCTACAGATCAGCAGTACATGTACCAGTTCTCCATCCTCTCCTGTGTCTACTACTTTGTGCCACTTATTGTCACCTTAGTGAGCTACTCCACCATCATATTTGTGCTCCGTACCAAGTCTAATCAATTTGCGAAATCATCATCGCTGTCAGAAAAGCGAAGGAGAGCTGCGATTATGGCTATTGCTGTGCTGATGGTGTTTGTGGTGTGCTTCGCACCAACCAATGGCATCCTGTTGTACCACTGTGTTCTTTTAGCTACTGGATTCAACAGCGGTGAGGGAGATTCATCATATGCAGCTTACCTGTTGGCTGTGTGTTTGGGGAGCGCAAGTGTTTTTCTGGACCCTCTTCTGTACTATTACGGCTCGTCTCAATGCAGACAGAAGATCATCTCTGTGTTTTGGTGGAGATGGGGAAAAAGCACCTTATCAAATTCAAACAGTCAGACAAAATCCTCTTATGTAAGTTGTGAGTACAGTCAGGCACGCATTAAGATGTGAATTGTTTCGAAAAAGAGCTGATGAAATTTGCTGATGTACTCTTATATTGTGCCATTGACAGAAGATTGAATTCAAAGTCTGGCCACAAATCCTGATTCATGCTAAAGCAGGATGTATATCCCTTCCATGCTGTTATTTTAAAAAATCCAGCATGTTACTAGGTCAAATTGACCCAACCTATTCACTATTTAAGAGACTCCATTTCCTGTTTGTGACTGAGCATGTGTAAGAAACACACAGTGTTACTGAAAGCATTTTACATCGCCATGTTCAGATCACATTTCTAGAGAATGTCATGCGATTTCAGGCTGAAAAATTGAAAGTTAAGTGGCAGTAAATCTGTCTAAAAGAGGACAGAATATTGTATAGAAGAAACTTAAAAAATGCTATTTTTGAAACATTTACTTGATACACTTTCATTCAATTTTGATTGCAAGACAATTACAAAAGTACACAAATATTTGTACAGAACAGATAAATAAAACGGATCATGTTGTTATCTTTATATTTTCTGAAATATTAATTAGCACAATCAGCGTTTTCTAAAAATGAAGCACCTACTTTCAGTAAATATTTGTTTAGAAATATTTCAAAACACATTTCAGGCTCTATTTTGTGACCTATTTGTGCAAAGAGCCAGCAGTCAAAATACAACAAATATAAAAAGCAGTCAATCCAAGTGTCTGGGTGAAACAGAAAACATGATATTGACTATTTTGTAATTCTGAAGGCAAAAAGTTCAGCTGCAGTCACTGTAATTCATTATATAGACACATTATCTGTGAATATAATCAGACTTTTTCCATCTCTGTCTTTTGCTTTACAGGTTCACTCCACTATATTAAATTGCCGGTTTTAAACGACAGCTTGAATGTGTAAATATCTCTACATATAAAATGATGTGATACATACATGTGCACATGGATGATATACTGTATTTAAATAATTTGTGCACATTTTCTTAGATTATTATATTTTAATAACTGAACTGAACTTATATATTTGCTAGTTGTCAAACAAGCCTATTTTCTCAAACTTTTAAGTTCTGGTCTCAAAACTGTAATGCAATTTTGATTGGAGTAAAAAATTTAACAACTCGCCATGGTCTTCGCTATATCATATTGTATCACTGAAGTACCTACTATATATCTTACTTTTCTCAGGTCCCAGTGACAAAAGTGAAATGCTGAAATCTTGTCTTACACTCTAAAAAAAATGGTGCTATATGATATTCTTTGGCTTGTAATCATAGGGGAACCACTTTTAGTGCTATTTAGCACCTATTTTTACAGGTGCTATATAGCACTTTGTCAAATGGTGCCATGTAGAACCATAAGAGGTGCCATATAGCACTTTTTCTCAACAATGGTGCACCAGTCATAACTCATCCATGGCTCCCAGCATGCATTGCGACATGAATAAATTATGCAGCTGCATTGTATTGCTTAGTTGTGCTATATAGCACCTTAACCACTCCAAAGAACCACTGAAGAACCTTTTTTTTAGAGTGTACAGCAGAGATAAGTTTGCTGATCACATCAGTTATAAGACACTCATTTCAAACATATTCAGTTATGTTGCACTTGCATGTATGATTAACTAGAAGAAATATATACCAAAATAATGTACTGTTGTGTATGAGACCCTTTTATATTTGCTGCATTTGCTGACCAGACAAAAGCTTCAGACTTGACAAATTTGTTTCTTCATTTTGTTCATCAATGAATACATTCCTTCTTAAACCAATTATGCCGAAATTGTTTGCCAAGAAAATGTAGGCATATGTCACGCAGTTACAACTATTGTGATTAAAAACAATTATTATCTGAATCATGTGTGAAGGATGTGTATTTCTTGTTCTTTACATGAAGCCTCACAGAGGGACGAGACTTGTAATATTATTTAGTTAAATTATTATCTGACGCCTGTGATATATTGATCTTATATATTTCACAGAAAAAGTGATAATAATTCCTCTAGACGGCGATGTCCAACAGCAGAAAACGTTCGGTTTAGAATTGGGAACGTTTTATGTTGCAGTTTGTTCAGGGTTATCTTTCTTTTGTGGTTCTTGAAGCTTCTGAATCTATGTTGATTCGTATACCTAGGCCTATCGAAAATAATGATGTTATCATATTTTAAACCACATACCGGCATCGTCACTCTTGCGAATCGGTTCTTTTGAACAATTCGTTTGAAATAACCTATTCAAACGCAAATTCAGCATGACGTATTAATATGCTGTAGCATATTCTAAAAAAAAAAAATCAAAGAAGCTCTTTTGAATAAAATGCTGTTTATTTAAACCAACTCGTAGACTACACGTGCAGGTGTAATACAAATCAAATGGTCTTACAAGTTCTCGGCTCATCGGACATTTCGAATAAGAGTTAAATAAGTCCCGGAAAATACAGTGGCTGTCATGAATCTCGAGTTTGTAAGAACATATCATCCAATGTCATTTTTAATCCAATGTCTGTATGATCTGCTTTTGATGGAACAGTCAAACGAATCATTT